TAACTTCTAAATATCCGGCATAACGAAAATTTCCTGCACTTGGGAATGACTGCTTTATATTGTCCTGCATTGTATTCCGAACTGCGTTTATATAAAAAAAAATGACTTGCGAACGGACTCCGGACTAGAACCTGTTTGCATTCCGGGCACCGGCTGTGCTATATTGGAGTGTTAGCCTTGATTTTTGTGCTTCGTTCTGGAGTTTGATTCTGGTCAATGTTAAGGTCCTCTAAGGCCCTCCTATAGAACTGCTGGGGGATTCCACACACAACAACCGTAGTGCCAACACATTGGAAGCCGCTCACAGACCTTAGAGGTCCGTGTAGTGGAAGAAAAAGTACAAGGAGATGCTGCTTCTCACGCGGAGGCAAAAGTCCTTAACTGAATGACAGCTGATTCTGTACCTCTGAACCAGGATCCTGGGTTCAAGTCCCACCTGCTCCAAAGGTAGAGAACAACATCTCTGAGCAGGTTGATTAATAATTAGATATTATTTATATAATTGATAATGATGGTCAACATGAATTTGTTGAAGGCAAATTGTGTATGACAAACTTGATTATGTAATTTGATGAAGTAACAGAGTTGACGAGGGTTGTGCATTTAATAAAGTGCCACTTGTTTGCAAAGTTAAAATCCAATACAAAAGGAACAGTGACAAAGCGACAGAAAATAGAAACTATTGGTGAATGGGTTTAAAATGTGTACAGGATTCCCCAGGTAACAAATTAAGGACACTTATTTTGATGCATGTTGATGACGTAGTTTTGATACAATTTTGAAGGTTACAAATGACACTAAACTTGGAAATGTAATGTAGCAGATTTCAAGAAGACCGTGATTGGTGAGACAATCAAACACACAACTTGGAAACTTAATGCAGTGAAGTGATGAATTGAGGAGTTTTATAGCAATAATTAGTAGAGGCAATAAAAAATAAAATTTTAAAGGGGTATTAGAACAGATACTTGAGGGTGTATGTACACAGCCAATAGTAAGAGAACATTCATTTGAAATAATTGGAAGAAAGGACCAGAGAGAGATGAAACAAGAGTGATTACTTTGTTTAAATGCAGTAAATTGTGATTTGGAATGCACTACTGAGTGGAAACAGATCCAGTAGTAACTTTCATAATGGAACTGAATATATTTTGAAAATGAAACATTTTACAGCGTGGAGGAGTGAGGCTAACTAGTTACCTTTTTCAAAGAGTAAACCGAGCAATGATGGGCCCAATGGTCTCCTTTGTCACTGTAATACTAGCAAGGTGAATGGTAGAGTGAAAATAAAATAGTGAAATATACTAAAAAAGTTCTCAGACAGAAGACTATAAAAGGAGACAAAAATTTAATCTACTGATCTGATTTAATAAGGTTTCAAAGTAATTTTCTGTCAGATTGCATATTATGACTTAAGATCTAACCTTATGTATTTTTCTATCTCCGCCTTGTGTTGAAACATATCAGAAGCTGGACTGGATTAATTTAACTCCTCTGCAGGAATGTTAGTTTGGAGCAGTGTTTTGGATACTGTAGAGATTTCCAATAAAGGAGACTCTGCCAAGTTTCTCTGGCTATATGACAGAAAATGAAGTACAGAATTAGTTTTTGTTTTACTTACATTTTAAAACAGAGTGATTTCTCACTGTTGCTTTGAGATCAAGGAGCGTCACCAGCTCCTGCAGCTCCGCTGTGACTTCCACCTAAAGTGAGGACAATCAGACTTTGCATATTCCAATTCCATCCAAAGTTGAAATAATTCTTTTTGTATATGCATTGACCAATGGGAGAATAATATTTCCACAACAAATCCTATTAGTACAGCTTGTCTTGTTAGCTGTTTCCAATAGCAACAATATGACAAATGTAATTTCTGATAAATTACTCTCCAGGGTATATTATCAAGGAGTAAGTTGTACAAAACAAAAACAAAAACAGTCATTGCTGGAGAAACTCAGCAAGTCCGGTAACATCTGTGGAGAGAAAGCAGTGTCAACATTTCAAGTTGAGTGACCCCTCTGCTTTCTCTCCACAGATACTGTCAGACCTGCTGAGTTTCTCCAGCAATTTCTGGTTTTGTTTCAGATTTCCAGCATCTGCAGATCTTTGCTTCGTTGGATTTTAGTAATAATTGTTGCAAGGATATTGCACTTTTGGGTTTAGAACCTTTTTAAAAATAAAGCTACTGATTCTTCTGCAACACATTTTACTTGGGGAAACAAAACACTTCAACTTAAAATACTTCCCCTTGTATTGCTGTCTCTCAATCCTTTTAAGGCTCTTGCACACAAAGCGTTATTCAAATAAGTTGCTTCTGCTTCTGACATCTGTTCTGATAAGAGATAGCAAGAACTGCAGATGCTGGAGTTAGAGATAACAGTGTGGAGCTGGAGGAGCACAGCAGACCAGGCAGCATCAGAGGAGCAGGAAAGCTGATGATTTAGGTCAGGACCCTTCTTCAGAAAAGATAAATATGATAAAATTTATCAAAAATGATAAAATAAGAATGATAAAACTTCTTTTATCTGAGCAAAACATTTGACTCAAACATGTAGTACAAAGATTAATTTTAGGTTGCAGAATTTCAAAATCTGCACACTGCTTTAATTTGCAGTGTCGCTGAACTTTTCCTCACTCCTTTCTTCTCCTCGGTTGGTTGAGGTTCAGTAGTCCTTTCTTTTGTGTGTCCATTACTTGTTGGCTGTCAGAACCAATAATCACCCAAGATGAAAATACAAAACCCTCTGAGAATGTGCCCTCAGTCTTTCAAAATATTGCTGGTAGGTTTTTGACATTTTGCAAGTTAAAGATTATACTGGTACTTAAATATTTATCTGATTGCTAGAGGTTTGCACTCCCTGCAGATTGTGCAAAATATGTTTGTGTCAGTGAAATGAAAGCCAAACTACAAAGAGTTTGACAAGACAAAGGGAAAGAGGATGTGGACCTCTCTAAACTAGTGTGTCCTTATGGAGAGAAGTAAAGCTGTTGAATAGGAAATATGCCACTGTATAATCTCTATTTTAAAAAAAAAAAATTCCTTTTGAGCTATGCAGAAATTGTACTAAATTAGGAGAATGTTTTTAAGTTTATCGTGAGAACAGAATACAGGACAAGGTGGGTTTTTTTTTTGCTATTTTCACAGCGCTAACAGATTTAACTGGTGCATTGATGTTTTTGCAAAGCAGTGGCATGTTTTGACGTAAAACATCAGATGTTTTCCAGATACTTCCGCAAAAGAGAGCAGCAATTTAACAGTCCACTGCCACCTGCTTTCCTGTTCCCAGCAGATCATAATAAACTGAAAATGTGAGGTCTGTACCTTTTTTGTAACAGTTTGTGCTGTTTGTGAAGCAGGCTGTTTGCAGATTGAAGGTAGGCAGTCAATTTTGTTGGATTTTGGTTCTGACCAGCTGTCTGGATGCTACAGATAAAAACCGAAAGAACTGTGGGTGCAGTAAATCAGGAACAAAAACAGAAGTTGTTTAAAGCTCAGTAGGTCTGGCAGCATCTGTGAAGAAAAATCATGTTTCAGCTCCGGTGACCTTTCCTCGGGCATTAATTGAAAATTATTGGCTGTAGATCCAATCTGAAGTGGGGAAGGTGACACCTGGAACATTTCTCAGTCCTGACCCCATACCTGTCAGAGTTAGTGATGCAATGCAAGATATGCCCTAATTGGTCTGGGGTTGAGTTTGGGTCTCAATTAGTGTCACGGCACTGCCTAGAGGTGTGAATTAGTTGTGGAAAGCAGATGGCAGCCATTGTCGGGCATATTGGAGAAGGCAAGTGAATTGAGGGCCACTAGACTTTCAGTCCAAAGAGGTAACACATATTCTGTCATCACTTGATCCACACTGCTCAAGTTGTGGTAATTTTTGTGTTGCTCCATGAGCACCTAAATTGGAAGATGATTCTTTTAGTAAAAGTTTGAAATCAATAAGAAATTACCCCACTGTGTTTGTGAAAAGTCAACTAAGATGTTCCAGGCTCTTCCTGTTCTTAAAATTTGGTACGGTTCTCCATCTCATCAACAGGTTAATTGGAGGTATGCACGTTGTTGCTTATCCCACCCTTCCTATAACAGTCCAACATCTGGAAGCAATGGAGGAATGATGTGTTATCTAAGAGCATTATTTTCAAAGCATGAGTGCACCCAGCCTTGCTTCTCCCTTCATGGGTGATTGAAAATCTGTCTTATTGAAAGTGAGTTGTGTATGCTTAACAAGTGTTTGTTAGCAAACGGGTGTTTATTGTTTTACAGAAAGTGAACTAATCATCTGATCACTTTTTAGTTGAAGCCATAGAGTTTATTCCTATCCAATGACTCCTAATAGAATGTGGAAGCAGAAGCTAAGGATGGGATTATAGCTATGATTGCCTAGATTTCCATATGTAGGATTGCATTTGAATAAGTAATGGTTAGTGCTTGAGAAGTATATTCCAAGATAAGGCACCCCATATTGGTACGGCTAAGAGAGAAATTCAAGAAGGAAAAAGTTTCTTTTTCTAAGCAATGATCTATATTTTTAAATAGCTGACCCTACTAAATGTCATGACAGCATTTGAATTAATATGTTCTGAAAATACTCTGAACTGGCACCATGCAGCAACAGTTAAAATCATGTCTTCTTTAGATTAACCTCTTAAATCCTCATTCTTTCTTCAATGACAGCTTCACTGGTGAGTGAGAACTTCCAGCTGCAGACCTGGGTCCAGTTATATCTTGCTCTGAACTTCAAAAAAACTCCTTAAATAGCTACTGCAGACTTAGTACTCTGCAACCTCCAAAAGTAGTAGCTTCCTTCAGTTCACCTTTAACCAACACTCCAAAATGTGAGTATGCTGATTATTAGTCTATTACTTGGCCGAAAGCACCATCCAGCATCAGTATTAAATTGTCTGCCTGACATATATACTTCTTGTGCCATCATGGAATTAAGATGCTAACATAATGGGTTGAATTTTCCCACCTTTTATTGGTGAAAGGCTGGGAATTGAAAGACTAGCAATCGAGATTGAGGGGAGATTAGCATCTGCCCACACTGTAGAAATATGCCTGTCTTCCTGATCTTTGCATCCTCCAACTAAACTCCCTAATTCTAAAAGAACAGGAATTTGGAGCAGGGGTTGGTCATTTGGGCCGTCAAGCTTGCTCTGCCCTTCAGTATGATCATGGTTGACCATGTTGAGGCTGAAGCTCCAAAATCTGACCTACCCCTGACAACTTTTGGCTACCTTTGTTGGTCAAAAATCTATGTACCTCAGCCTTAAAGCTACCCTTTCTCCTTTTCTGTCTGGGGAAGAGAGTTAGAGGGCTCCTGGCCATTAAGTCACCTAATCTAGAATGATGCAGCAAAATCCAGTTTAGTGCCTGGCTTCTATTGAAGGGTGGCTCAGGTTCTTCATTGGTCACTGCTGGCAAGATGCTGTAGCAGGATTGCCGTTCACTTAAAGCCCTAGTGGTGGGATCTCAAGATCTGCTGAAAACTTCAACCCAATGATGAATTTCCAGCAATCTCATGAAGGTATTTCAAAGCACTTTTAAGACCACAGTTGACCTGATGACAAGGTTTCTCTACAGCCAGAACAGCTTCAAGGGTAAAGCTTAATTCTGGTGTAGTTAAATAAAGTCAATTATCTACAACAGCAAATCAGTTGAATTTCACCATTTTGTGACTCGCTTTGCATGTTACACTGACTCTTATGCTTGTATGTCCTTTATCACTTGTGGTTGTGTTGAAAGCAACGGGACATAATTGGTAGTTAATCATAGTCAGATCAGGAATTTTGCAGGCATTTCTTTTCACCGAGGGGTTACAACATCGAACTTACTGCCAAAATGCAGTGGTATAAACTGCAATGTTGGGATTTTTGAGATTTGTAAGAGAGGGAAACAAAAGTATAGGGTGGGAAGAGGTAATTAGAGTAAGTGGAGGATTGTCTGGAGTAGGGAGACAGACATAGATCTGTTGAACTGAATGACTTATTCCTATGCTGTACACTTTATGCAATTCGTCAACTAAGACAATTGGTAATGATACAGGAATCAGATTCCTGGAAAAGATTAAGATCCATTAAAAAAATCCACAATCACAAAGTAAGTTGAAGAAAGTTCTCTCAATAGAACACAGCAACAAATAAGTTCTTTTGCAATATGACTTCTAATAAAACAGGTCATTTGTAAGGTTACCTCAATGGTTTCAACAATTCTATTTTCAAATGGCACTCAAAGATAGACTTTATGGTGATAATTTGCTCTTGAGGGTCCAAGAGAATGTATTCCAATTTTTAAAAAAAAAAACAAACAAAGTAACTAAGATTGAAACCAAAGTAAAAGCATACTCCCTGGATATCCTGGCCAGCGTGGAAATTGGGCTTTAATAGGATCCTTTTTTATTTAGGTAAACTTACCTAAATGGATCACCTGTGGTTTGAGGCAAGCACTTTTTCACAACCAAACCTGACCTGTCCAGAAATGGCCTGAAGTCAAAATCACGGCACTGTACCAACCTGTGGCTGGCCGCCCTTAAATGGGCTAGGGGAATCAGGGTACCTGGGGTGCAAATTCTCAAATCAGTGAAAGCTTCCATACAGCTAAATGAGGCCATTAAGAAGCAAATATAGTACTGTTTAGACTGGTAAAATTAGGAGGCAGCAAAGTTTTATGCTAAACCTGTATGAACAGGTAGTTAGAACATATTGGAAGCTATGGCGCACAGTTTTGGTTGTCTTGTTATTAAAATGGATACAAAGGCTCTGTAGAAGGTCCAAAAATATTTGAGAATGATAGTAGATAAATTACACTTTGATAAGATTAAACAGGCTGGGGCACTTTTCTCTAGGAAGGAGAAGGTTGAGGAGTGTTATGATAGAGGCCTTAAAAAGAATTGAAAGGGTATCAGCCATGAACAAGTTGGTAGAATTTCTACCTCCTAAGTTAAGAGGTTGAGGGTTCATGTTCCATTCCAGGAAATGAGTACAAAAATCAAGGTTAAAGCTCCAAAGCTGAGGAAGTGATGGGCTGTCGAAAGTTCCATCTTTTGGTTAAGGTGTTGAACCAAGGCCTTATCTTTCCTCTGAGATGGAAGCAAAATACCCAACGGCACTGTTTTGATGAAGAACAGGGGAGTTATTTGTTGTACATTGACCAATATTTATTGTCTCAAAAACATTACTTTTTCTAGGTTAAGCAGCATCATAGGAGCAGGATGCTGCTTGGCCTGCTGTGTTCATCCAGCCCTGCACCTTGTTGTCTCGGATTCTCCAGCATCTGCAGTTCCTACTATCTCTGATTTCACTTTTTCTAGGTTATTGCATTTCTGTTTGTGGGTCTTGCACAAATTAGCTGGCTCATTTCCTATGTTATGACAGTGACTAAGCTTCAGATGTACTCCGTTAGTTATAAATCACTTGGAGGTGTCCAGTCGCAAGGAAGTGCACTAGTTAAATACAATTCCTCTTCTGGTGAGGTTGACACAAGAACAGATGTGAACCAGATAGTCTATCTGCCCCGGTTCTGTAATTATATATATTCTTGCCTAGTGAAATCGTGTTATCTCCGTCCCAAACATTTCAAGAGCATAGAAACAAGAGTAGGCGATACAGCTGATGGAACCTGCCTGCTATTCTAAAACACGAGTGATGTTCTCACCCTTACCATTTTTTCCTCACTAATGCCATATCTGTTTCTGTCATTTAGTCTCTAGAAACCTTTTCCTTTTATTCATTCACGGGATGAGGGCGTCGCTGGCTGGGCAGCATGTATTGCCTGTCTCTAATTGCCCAGAGGGCAGTTCCGAGTCAACCACAATGCTGTGGGTCTGGAGTCACATGTAGGCCAGACCAGGTAAGGATGGTGGATTTCCTTCCCTAAAGGACATTAGTGAACCAGATGGGTTCATGGTCATCATAAGACTCTTAATTCCAGATATTTATTGAATTCAAATTCCACCATCTGCCGTGGCAGGATTTGAACTTGGGTCCCCAGAACATTATCTGGGTCTCTGGATTAACAGTCCACCGATTTAATACCACTAGGCCATTGCCTCCACCAACTGATTTCTGTCTTAATCCTGCTCAATGATTTGAGCTTCCACAATTGTCTATATTAGAGAATCCCAAAGTTTCACTGTCCCTTTTTTTTTTATTTTTATTTTATTTTTTTTTTTTTTTGAAGAAATTCCTCTTCATCTCAGTCTTAAATGGCTTTCCCTTATCCTGACTTTTTTTCCTGGTTTCACGTTCTCCCCATCCCTAGGCTGGTGAAGCTATTTATATACACCTTGTCACCACCTGTCAGAAATATTACATTTCAGTGAGGTCATGTCTCATTCTTTGAAACTCTAGAGAATTCAGACCCATTTTCCTCAACCTCTCCTTGTAAGACAGTTCCCAAGGATTAATTGGGTAAAGATAGAGGAAATATAACTATGGCGAACGTATCCTTCCTCAGATAAGGAAACTAAAACTGTACTCGGTACTCCAGGTGAGGTTTTACCAAAGCTCTACACAACTGCAGCATGGCATCTTTCTTAAGTACTCTCTTCCTGTTGAAATTAATGCCAGTATACCATTTGGCATTCTAATTTCTTGCTATATTTGCATGCTTTCAGTGATTCATTGAATGAACACTCAAATCTCCTATGGATACCCTCACTTGCCATACACTCTGTATTTAAGAAATATTCTGCCTTTCTGCTTTTCCTCTTAAAGTAAATATCTTCACATTTATTTACATTCTATTCAATCCACAATGTTCTAACCCATTCACTTGTTGTGTCCAATTCCTCTTGAAGTATTCTTTGTATCCTCCTCATAACTTAACATCAAAATGGGTGGGAACATTATCAGTAAACATGGAAATATTATAATTGGCCCCCACATTCAAATCACTAACCTAACTTGTGAATGGTTGTGGACCTGACGTTAACCCATATGGCACCCCATTAGTGACTACCTGCTATCTTGAAAGTGATTTGTTTATTCCTATCTCTGCTTTCTGTCCACTAAATTTTCAATTTCAATCCATAATAGTATAGTGTCTCTAATCCCATGTGCTCTAGATTTATTTTCTAATGTCCTATGTGGGATCTTTCTTAATAAAAGCATTCTGAAAATCCAAATACACCACATCCACTGGGGTTGGGGGCGGTGGTGGCGGGGCATGGGTTCCTTTTTATCTATGCTACAAGTAAACATTCTCAAAAACTTCAAGTTTTGTCAAATATGATTTTCCTTTTATAACCCCAAGCTGATTCTGCCTAATTTTGTCATTCCTTCTTCTGAATGTGCAGTTATCACATCACTTATAATAAATGCTAACATTTTCCACACTATGGACATCAAGCTAACGGCTATGTTGCTGTACACAATGTTGCTCTTCCTCCCTACTTAAACAGTGGTGTTACATTGGACTATGGACTATGAAATGTTTTCACTATTAGGGGTAGTCCGGACTACCTTTTCATAATGTGAAATAGTCACTAGTAACTCCACTAAAAATTCCGGAGAAACGTGAGTGATTAGAATTAGGAACTTACTACCATAAAAGGGAATTTGAAGTTAATAGCATAAGTATGATTATAGAATCTAGATAAACACATATAAAAGGGATTCATAGAATTCGTACAGCGTGGAAGCAGGCCATTCGGCCCATCAAGTCCACGACAATCCTCTGAACAGCATCCTACCCACACCCCACATTCCTCCCCCAACCCCACCTTATCCCTGTAACCCTGCATTCCTCATGGCCAATCCACCTAACCTGCACATCTTTGCAGGCTAAGTTGATATATGGTAGGTGAAAACTGGTGTAGTGCATTTTTTAGCAATATAGTCCTGCAGGGCTGAAGGATCAGTTTCTGGGTTGTACATTCTACATAACCTATTAACATTCTTGAGATCCCTTTTTCGTGTAGATTTGGGCTAAGAACGAAAATGATGTAGCAAAGGAGCTCAATTAAGTGATTTTTCAAAAAGCAGTAGCACTCTATGTTGAATGTACAGATATTTTACATATCTTAGAAGCTAAGTGACCAGTGAAAGGAAATTTGGCAGTATTACCGATTTGAAAACAACTATAAAGGTATTCTGCAGCAAATAAAAGTTCAGCCCAATTTAAGGAATGCAAGTCTGGAGTTCCAGTTGTGACAAATGATATGTAGAGGACAGCCTGCACTAGCAACTTCCTGTGCAGTTCGCTTCAGAGTGCAGACCACGCAGATCTAATTATTATCATTCTGACATTGAAAGTGAAAAAATCATTTATTTTGAAATGATCTCTTTTTTTGGGAGAAAAAGGGAGGTACTGAATTACACGGTTGCAAATTACTATATTAAATTTTATTAAGGGCTGAGTCTACTGGACAAATACCTAATTTTTAAAGAGAAAGTATTTGAAGATTTATACATAAATTTTGTAATTGCAAACAGGGCTTGCCCTTAAGCTTTCTGCTAATTATTTCTGCATTTCCTTCCTATTATATCTTGACCAATGCATTTCTTCATAGTTCTGGCAATAAGTATGACATGTTCTTTCATCTGTACCTGATTAGCGCAAAAGCATTCAAAAATGCTTAAGATATTTAACCTTTCAAGCACTGACAGCCCTTTCTTAACTTGAACTGAATTTGCATTGTGCACATGCAAATGGGGAGGCGATGCCCTAATGGTATTATTGCTGGACTGTTAATCCAGAGACCCAGATAATGTTCTGGGAACCTGGGTTTGAATCCCGCCATGGCAGATGGTGGAATTTGAATTCAATAAATATCTGGAATTAAGAATCTAGAGATGACCACAAATCTATTGTTGATTGTCGGAAAAACCCATTTGGTTCACTAATATCTTTTAGGGAAGGAAACTGCCCACCTTACCTGGTCTGGCCTACATGTGACTCCAGACCCACAGCAATGTGGTTGACTCTTAACTGCCCTCTGGGCAATTGGGGAAGGGCAATAAATGCTGCCTAGCCAGTGATGTCCCTCATCCCATAAATGAATAAAAAAAAAAAGGCTCAAGTGACCCTGAATCCAGTAACGTCATTGACTGACTGTTTGTTTGTTTATTTGCATTTTTCAATCAAATATGAACTTCAGTTGTTTACATCCTCTGATCTTAGAGATATGTTTGCTGTTCTTGTTTCCCTTACTATGGTTTTATAGATACATCATACATTTACGTTTCCTGTGGGATCACTAGCAGCAAATCCAGGGGTTTTGTGACAACAGTAGACAAGTTGCCCGACCATGAAATTGATGAATCAGCACTTGGGGCAACCTTGAAGACCAGGATGGAGAGCCTGTGGTTTGGCACCTCCAGGACCAAGTCTTGGTGTCCGCACTTAGCAATACTTTGAAAGTGGTTGGAGACAGTTGAAGGTGGAGTGAGGAATTGGGAGAGGTCTGAGGCTTTTTTACACTGATTTTTGGATGAAAGATTTAATATTAATCAGAGCTCCCCTGCTCTTAAAATCATGCCTTTTGGGTCTTTCACCTTCACATGCAGGGGAAGATAGCAGGGCTGAAAATATATATTTTTCTGAAGGCTCCTCACTAGATTTTCCAAGCTTTTTTGTTTGTTCTTTGGGGGTTTCTTTTTCAGTTTTATTAGTTTTTCATGAAATTATGCAGCCACTCTGTTTAAAATTCCTTCTGAATTTGTGTGATTTATAGGGGGAGTTTGGACTTGCACAGAAACATAATTAGAAGAATTCATTAATATCTCCAATAATCATCACCATTCTGTTAAACTTAAAGACACAAGTTCAAGGAAGGGGTTTCAGAGATAGTAGGAACTGCAGATGCTGGAGAATCTGAGGCTTTGCAGTGGGATTAAAATTGTTTCTGAAGCAGGGTCTAGACCCGAAACATCAGCTTTCCTGCTCCTCTGCTGCTTGGCCTGCTGTGTTCATCCAGCTCTACACCTTGTTATCTCTTAAGCTCAAGGAAAGCACTCGTTTCCTAAATTTGATGGTATTTCAATTGACATATCACAACAGCATTAAGCTGACAACGAATGAGTTTTTCAAAAAAACACTGCTGTGCTTTTATACACAACACTCATCCTAAATGTTTTTCTGCAGACTGGTGAGGTTGCATGTTTTGCACAAATAGTGGCTGCAATTCAACTAATTTGTGGTAAATAAGATGCTTTGATATGTGATAACCTATAAATGCAAATCATAATGAAATAAAACTCTTTCAATATTAAATTACATAATTGACACCAGTGCTCGTTCTAACACTATCCATTACTTTTCCCCCCACGTAATGACTCCTGAACTCCCTCGGCTTTAACATAAAGATCCCAATTAATCTGAAAGGAATTGATTTACCTCAGGCGTCCTGTGCCCAGTTAGATGAATATTCTTTTGAAGATTTTTAATTATTTTTCTCCTTTTCAGACCCTCTTTCCCTTCTTTAGAGACCCTCAGTCCTCTTTGCAATGTTCACTTCCCATTCCAGTCCCTCTTCTCCTTTCCAACTCCTCTCTCTGTTTCCTGATCCTCTCTCCACTCTTCAGCCCCTTACTCCCCTTTTGCAGCTTACTATAAACTCATCAGCAGTATACAGGAGAGAACCAGTCTGTGTTGACTAGTGGAGCTGATCCTCATCATCTCTGGTCACCCACTCTGTGGTTGGATTTTCCAGGGCAGCTTGTGGATTTCAGGAGCAGTTCCACGCATCACTCGAGTATTTTGACCACTGGAAGACAGGACTTCAACTGAAGAACAAAAAGAAGGTTACACCAGAACCTATTCTGATTTTAAGTGCTCCTGTAATGTCGTTGAACTATGAAGATCAGATACAGGAAGTTGAAGCAAACAAAGAGGAAGTTGATATTGAGCACTGAATGTAACAATTCAGCAATAAGTGTTACCTTTCATTGTGGTAGTGATCCTTTTGGTGTTTGCTGTAACTCATATTTTAAAAATGGTGTGAATACATGGCACTGTACACAATGTTATTACTAAGTGCATTAGTAAACATCAACATAATTGGATTTTAGATAAAAATATTACATTCTCTGGTTATCCTTTTCAGTGTGAAAGAGAGAACACAGACATTTGCCTTTTAGTGAGGCTGTAATTGTTGATTTAATCTTCATTCACCATAAGAACGTTCATTTGAATTTAAACAATCTGTATTGCAAGAAGCATGTTTGATATATTATTATACTTTTTCGAGGGGCTTTCTCATTCATTTGTAGGATTTGGGTGTCACTGAGTAGACTAGCATTTATTGCTCCTCCCTAAATGCCCTGAGAAAATTATAGTGAGCTGCCTTCTCAAACCACTGCCATCCATAGGCATACTGACAGATCTGTTAATGAAGTTGCAAGAATGACATTGTCATGGTGGAGTGTGGGATTATTTCTTTAATGTTTAAAGATGTCATTTCAAAACATTTACTGATGTTATAGATATTGGATCTTAAGTCCTGTAAATGCCCTTTCTCTAAAACTCTTAACTGACCAAGTGTTTTCCCCATACCCCACACTCCCATATCCTTCAAGGCAGTGAGTGTTATTGAAGGCATGAGACCTTCAGGTGATGTGCTTTGACTTTCTTGAGTTTGTAGCAGTAATGAATTCTGTATTCAACAGAAAACAGCTGGAGAAACTCAGTAGGCCTGGCAACTTCTGATGAAGCGTCATGGGACCCAAAACACTGACTCTGCTTCCCGTTCACAGACACTGCCAGATCTGCTGAGTTTCTGTTTCTGTTTTTGTTCCAGGTTTCCAGCATCTTCCTTTTTTTATGAACTCTGTTGTTGGGGGAAGTTGCAAAAGTTATTGGGATTTAAAAGGAACTGGTATTGGAGTTTTCCTGTGCATTCACTGGCACTTGAAGGTCACTTACTGGTCAGCTCATCATTATTCATTGAGGCTATTGCTCTAGTTGGCATTGCGCTGGAGCACGGTGTGGAGAAGAAAGACAGCTTGCAGAGAGGGAGGAGCAGGAGTGCTCCCAATTGGAGGTGCTAACAGCGGGGTATAGTCGGGGAAAGCTTTTTTTTTTTTTTTCTTACCTGCATTCTTACCTTGGATTCAACCAGGAGCAATGTCTGAAACAATTAAGATTCACTGAGAAGATGATTAAATTAACTGTACCAAATCTTTCAACTTGACTGTAGCTGCACAGTGGGCAAGTACAGTTTTAAATGGTAGCCACAAAGATCTCTGTGGTCTTCAGTTTGTATGTCTGCAGATCCTTCCAGGCCAGAGTTGGTGACCTCACCAACCTGTCCAAGTTTGCTGTGCATTGTTGCATCAGGCAAGTGATATAAAGCCAAGGAAAGGGGAATTCATAATCTATAATTAGAGAGAACAAGCACTTTGATTTGCTAGAATTGACATTCCCAATGGTGTGAGAAGCATTGACTGCATATGACTCTGTAGTGATCTATGATTCAATGAGGAGAGATATTGAAACAGTAAGGGGTACCACTCCCCCATCTTATGTGTAACATGGTAGATGAACTTGAGCAGCGTATTATATTAGTGGATGTTTACTCTCCTGACAACAGACTCAATGCTTTCATTCTGTATCAGTTTCCCCCGTTCCTGATGTTCCAGTTACCACCATGAGCCAGGAATGACTGCAGGACTATCTGCAATACATATGAGTAATGCCCATGCATTGGCCTTCGAGATGCACATCAACGCAGAATCGCTGAGCAGAGACTCGTAGTCAGGTTCTGTACCCATGACGATGGCTTCAGCTGTGGTCTTGGATTCATGTCATGCTACACATGAGATAACAAGGTGCAGAGCTGGATGAACACAGCAGGCCGAGCAGCATCAGAGGAGCAGGAAGGCTGACGTTTCAGGCCTAGACCCTTCTTCCCGAATCGTCAGCCTTCCTGCTCCTCTGCTGCTTGGCCTGCTGTGTTCATCCAGCTCTACACCTTGTTATCTCAGATTCTCCAGCATCTGCAGTTCCTACTATCTCCATGCTACACATGACCCCACCAACCATTCTGTATCTATAAAATCTTCCTTACGGTCCTGTTTTAACACCATCACCTTGATAAACTGTTATGATCTCTCTACGTTAATTAGTATGTACAGTTTTGGATTACTTATTACTCTGGTTAGACCCTCAGCATGCGGCTCTTATACCTACTGTGTTTTTCCAGTCATCTGGTTTGCCTCCAGCACCACCTTTTTATTTTTAATTTTTTGTAATTTATCTCTGCCTCATTTAATCAGATTATAGGTCATCCCTTCGCTTGTTATTTAGCTAGATCCAATCTACGACTTCGCTAAAGTTCTGCAACATTGGCCACCAGATGTTGCATCACAACTGGGTCTACTAGTGCTATCACAGACTTGGGCATCACTTCTGCAATGGAAAGGATGGGCCCCAAGCTCAGTGAATCTCTGTGCTGCGCTGGGGCTGGATTTCTCCATGCTCCAAGGCAGGAATGAGGCTCTGTTGTGTCTGCCAATCCACACCATTGTGTGCATAACTGTCAGCATTGTCCTGCATACTGGCCCTTCAGTTTCTCCATATTAGTCATCTGTCCTTTTCAGCAGGACTCTCCTCCAACCTCAACCATTGGAGAACTAGCACATGTGGAGTCCTTTGCCCGTGGCCCGGTTGCAGCTACTCGTGCTCAGTGACCTACCACACGCTGATTCTGATTTTCATGCCTGATCAATTAATTGATGGTGCTTAGTTACCAGATGTCTGTTGTTGCTCCCACTGTTTTATTCTGAGGTTGCGTTGGCTGACTAAGAGCCAGGTCTTGGATATCCTAAAGCATGAATACGGTTTGAGTAAGTGAGAGTGTGACAATGATTTTTCTTGTTTTTAACTCGATCTGCAACATACACCTTATGCCAGGTTGCAGGATAAGGATGGTGGGATTTGAGAAGGTGCATTTGGACAAGAACTGCTTCAGTACCTGCCAATTCACAAATGGTGGTTAGAACATAGAAAAGACAGTATAGGAACAGGCCGTTCGGCCCACCATGTCTGCACCGACCATGATGGCCTTCGAAACAAATCCCATTTGCTTGAACATGTCTGTATCCCTGTATTCCCCACCTGTTCATGTGTATGTCTAAATGACTCTTAAACATTGTTATTTTATTTGCCTCTACACCTCCCCTGGCAGTGTGCTCAAGGCACCTGTCACCCTCCTTGCAAAAAAACTTTCCTCGCATATCTCCTTAACATTTCCACTCACCTTAAACCTATGCCTCCGAGTATTTGACATTTCCACCCTGAGGAGAAAAGACTCTGATTATCCTCCCTATCCATGCCTCTCATTATTTTTTATACTTCTATCAGGTCGCCCCTCGGCTTCTGATGTTCGAGTGGAATAACATCCATGTTTGTTCAACCTCTCCCTGTAGCTAATGTGCTCCAATCCAAGCAACATCCAGTAAACCTCTTTTGCACCCTCCCCAAAACCTCCACATCCTTCCTACACTGTGATGACCAGAACCGTACACAATACTCCAATTGCCACCTAATTAAAGTCTTATACAGCTGCCGCATGACTTGCCAACTTTTATATTCAATGCCCTGACTGATGAAGGGAAATATGTGTTCACCTACTTTACCACCTTATCTACTTATGTTGCCACTTTCAAGCAGCTACAGACTTGGACCCCAAATCACTGTACATATCAATGCTCCTAAAAGGTCCTGCTATTTGCTGTATACTTTCCTCTTGTATTTGACTGCCCAAAATGCGTCATTTCACACTTTTTGTCCAGATTAAACTCTATCTGCTATTTCTCTGTGCAGTTTTCCAACTGATCTATATCCTGCGGGATCCTTTGACAACTTTTCTCACTATCCATAACTTCACTGATTTTTGTGTTGTCTGCAAACTTACTAATCAGACCATCTACACTTTCTTGAAAATGATGAATCTTGTGCAATTATCAGTGAACATCCCCACTTCTGAACTTAAGATGGAGGGAAGGTCATTGATGAAGCAGCTGAAGATGGTTGGGCCTAGGACATTACCCCGAGGAACTCCTGCTGTGACATCCTGAGTCTGAGATGACTGAAAGCTACGACCATCTTCCTTAATGCCAGTTGTGACTGCAACCAATGGAAAGTCTTACCCCCGCACCCCGGTTTCAATTAACACTAGTTTTGCTAGTGCTCCTTGATGTCAACTGTAGTTACCTTCACCTCATTTCCGGAGTTCAGCTCTTTCTTTTCTCCATGATTTGAATAAACACTATCATGAGGGGCCCATGTAAACACCTTAAAGTTGATGATCAATGACTAGTAACGTTACTTCGCTATTTTTAAATAAGAGAATGTGTATACATAATGTAAGAAAATAATCTAGTGATATATAGCTGCCTATTTTTCATTCCTTGAGAGTTTTGTCCCTGCGTTGATAAAGGCTTTAGCTTTCTAAGGTATGCTTTCCCAGCAGCAACCCAGACGATTAATCATAGCTATGTAATCCCTGATAAGGAATGTCACTTGGCTATTTGACTGAAGGGAGCATCAGGTTATAAAATTGCACAGAGACCTGTCCAGTAGGTGCTGCTGTATAGTAACATAGTAGTGGGAGCGCTCATTACCTCTCCCTAGTCTAAGGGATGCTGACATCAATTGTTCACTTCCAGCATTATCCCAAGTCAGCACAGGTCAAAGTTGGCATTTTCTTGTCTTCCATGACTCAGCTATTTATTGGGCATACTCACTGGGTCATCCTATGCGATTATAGCTGGGTGGTTGATGGATGGCTTCAATGATTGACTCAGCAGGTTGGAAAAATTTCAATGAGGGGTCATACCATATGTGGCATTTCCAGCCGTGAGAGATGGGTGAGTCTGTCTTGGCTAAGATTAACACTTCATTATTGCTGTAGTTCTAATGACAGAGAAAATGCTGTGTATGAGAAATGCATTAATCTCAGCCCTTAATGCACTGCATGATAGAGGGACACCATTGAGAATAGCAGACTTAGTTGTTGCCTGCTGTCAATACAACAACACACATGAGCATTTCAAAGATAGATTTCTATGCAGTTTTCTTCACTGGGGAATTTCTGTTTTAGTTACCATGGTATGTTGTGCTTTGTTTTCAAACTGGTTTCTCCCTGCAGACTAATCTTGGTCTCATGAATGCTGTCTATAGTATTGTGGGTTCTTTTAAATCCGACTCCAAACACAAAATAATGTACAATTGAGATTTAATTAAAACAAAGATGTTTCACTTCACAGCACATTCAGCTGTGCGCTGTGCTGGTGCTAACTCATTATAGCTTGAAGAAATTTACAGAATTGTACAATGCAGGAGACCATGCAGTCTATCATGACTGTATTGGCTCTTTGAAAGAACTGTTCAATAGTCTCACCTATTTTTTTTTCCTTTCTGAGAATCCTGCAAAACTCTTCAAATCCTTTATATAAGCCATTTGCTTAAGTTTACTATTGAATGCACTTCTGTCACCCTTTTCATCCGCTGCATTCCAGACTGTGACAATTCAGCATTAATCACCACAGTGTCTTTTGCCAATTACTTTAAATCAGTATCCTCTGGTTACTGACCCTCCTGACAGTGGAAATAGTTTCTCCCTATATGTACTCTCTCAAAGCCCTTTAAAATTGTAAACACATCTGTTAAATCTCCTCTTAACCTTTTCTACTCTAAAGAGAATAATCCTGTTTTTTCTAATCTCCCCACATTGTATTCCAGACCATTCATAAAGTGGTAACATAACCCTTCACACGTCACTTCTGACTATCTCCCCGAATGAATATATTGAATAATGATAGGCAATTCCGAAGTGGTGGCATCACAAGTGAGATCAAGCCTATTGTTGTACATCTTGATTTGTCTGATTTTTCACAAGTGCCATGAAAAGGGAATTGGAACCGAATTGTGTAATTTTCCTTTTCAGCTCGCGGGCAATGAAGCTAATTGCAGTACATCATAGCTAATGATCAACATCTGTTGTGGATCTATGACAATTCAAGTCTTTATAGCTCTATTCCACACTACCATATTTACTCTGGCTTATTGGGCAGACTGTATATTTTGTATGCTGCCATTGTAATAAATATATCCAAAGGATAGAAGCCAATGGTATAAATTTTTAATAAGATACAGAGAAACCCATTTAGTCCAGATGACTGAGTGAGTACATTAAATTCCAATCAGGAAGCCACAGAATGAAGATTCACTGAAATCATATTTAAACATTTTTGGTTTTACAAAAAATACAATATACAGTACAGGAACAGACCCTTTGGCCCATCAAGTCTGTGCCAATTCCTACCCCTTATTTAGATCCACTACTTATTGCCCATATGTGGTTTCTATCCCTTTGCTTCCTGTTCATGTATCTTGATAGATATGCGTTAAACATTGCTAATGTGCCTGCTTCCACCACCTCCACTGGCAATGCGTTCCAGGCATCCACCACCTTCTGTGTGAAACATATTTTTCCCACACTTCTCCCCTAAATTTTCCCCCCTCACCTTTTAACCTGCTTCCCCATGTAGCTGACC